GCCGAAAATTTGGTCGATATCTATATCAGGGAGATAGTGACACGGCACGGGGTGCCAGTGTCAGTGATATCAGATCGAGATGTGCGGTTCACTTCTAGGTTTTAGAAGAGGTTTCATGACGAGTTGGGCACTCGTCTGCATTTTAGCACCGCCTTTCACCTACAGACGGATGGTCAGAGTGAGCGGACCATCCAGAATTTGGAGGATATTTTGCGGGCATGCGTGTTAGACTTCGGTGGTAGCTGGGATACGTATCTTCCCTTGGCTGAGTTCTCGTACAACAACAGCTACCACACGAGTATTGACCATCCCCATTCGAGATGTTGTACGGACGGAGGTGTAGGACCCCAATATGTTGGGGTGAAGTTGGCCAAAGGGTCATAGGGAGCACCAAGGTGGTGCTCAAGACGACCAAGAGGATCCAGCAGGTCCGAAGCAGACTTCAGACTGCGCAGAGTCGGCAGAGAAGTTATGCTGACAAGCGTCGATCAGACCTGGAGTTCCAGGCCGGGGATATGGTTCTCCTAAAAGTGTCGCCTTGGAAAGGTGTCATCCGATTCAGGAAGCGGGGCAAGTTAGGCCCGAGATACATTGGTCCGTTCAGGGTTATAGCCCGGGTGGGCAAGGTGGCATATAGGCTGGATCTGCCAGCTGAGCTCAGTCAGATCCACAACACTTTCCATGTCTCCTAGCTGCGGAAGTGCCTCGTGGATGATTCAGCGGTGGTGCCTTTGGAGGATATACAGGTTGATGATAGTCTGAATTACATTGAGCACCGAGTCGCAATCCTCTACCAGAAGTCGAAGGATCTAAGGAAAAAGAGGGTGGAGCTAGTGAAAGTGTAATGGCAGCAATGCAAGGGTTCGGAATGGACTTGGGAGCCGGTAGAAGAAATGATGGAGCATTACCCCGAGCTGTTTCAGGATCGAGCGGCAGACATCGAGGATGAAGTCTAAAATAAGTGGGGGAGATTTGTAGCACCTGGTTCCTGGTACGTAAAATTTATCTAAGTATTTGTCATTTTTAGCCTTGGACTCGGCGAGTTGTAGGTCCGACTCGCCGAGTAGAGACGTGATTCGGAACACGTTTAAGTTGGAGACTCGGCGAGTCTATATTTTGGACTCGATGAGTCCCCGCTGTCTGATGAAACCCTAAATTTCAAGGGTTTGCACCCTATTTAAGCCCTTTTATCCGCCCCAAGCTCGCCCCCTTCACCCCCTAGAGCCTTATACTTCGTTTAAGCTTGTTCCTTGTGAGATTGAAGCATTTTGGTGTGTTTTCTTGAAGATCTGGAGAGGGAAGGAGAGTAGATCAAGAAGAGAAGAAGGAGGCCAGGCTTATTGGTGTTATATCAGTGATGTCCTTGAGGTATAACTCGTTTTCCCTCTGTTTTCATGCTTGTTGTCCCTTGTAGCTCCATGAAAGTCCTTCCTGATCCATTCCCCAAGCTTGTTTGTGCATTGTGGGTTGTATTAAGTTGTTAGCCTCTAGATCTAGGCATGATTGAGTCCCTGGAGCTTGGATCTACTGCCTTTATGGAGGCATATTGCATGAAAGCTCTAGATCTACTCTTTTGGTGCGTTTTGAGCCCCAAAACCTTCATTGGTGATTATTTACACGTACAGTTGGAAACTTTACGCGTAATTCATGCCCTAGAAACCCAGATTTGTGAATGGCATGAGCTAGATTCAAGAAAAATCGAGTGTATAGTAATTGCATGTGGCCGACTCGGCGAGTTGAGTCGCGAGTCCCCAAGTTTTCCCCCTTTTCGTGTTTGCGGGTTGGAGTAGTGGGTCATAGGGTGTAACTCAGTGGGTTGGAAGCCAGACTCACTCATGTAGTCACTCGGCGAGTCAATGCCATGACTCGGCGAGTTCAGGGCAACCTTCTTGCCTCAAGAACAGACTCGGTGAGTTGTTCATACAGCTAGGCGAGTCTCAGCATAGAGTGTTCATCGGATGAAGAAGAACTCGGAGAGTTGTTCATACAACTCGGCGAGTAGGATGAAGGACTATTGGCCTTTAGCTTAGAAGGAAAACTCATCGAGTCAATGCCAAACTCGACGAGTAGAGATGGGATAATGGTCAGACAAAGGGATACGGACTCGCCGAGTTGACAGGCCAACTCGGCGAGTCGGGTCAAGTGGAAGTTGACCTTGACTTTGACTCATGGTTTGGTTAAGGGTAAATGGTCAGTTTACCCTGAGGTCGGTTAGCAATATTTGACTAAGTGTTTGGTGGGAATTGCAGCCGGAGGATTTCCGGAGCAGCAGCAGCTGATAGACCGTTCCCACACAGATCAGCAGCTATGAGGTGAGTTACCTTCCAGTAGCGGTGGGTTCTACGACCACAATGCTGGCCCACCAGTAGGAATTGTATGATAGATGTTTGTCTCTATGATATTCATCTAGGGTTGCTACTACCTGTGATATGTTATTGTGCTAGTATGATATGATGTTATGTGCTAGTGACAGTAGAAGGAGATAGTCCCCCAGAATACCGGTCGATAGGGCCATAGGGGCGGTCATGCCCAGCCATGCTAGATAGATTATGTGATATACGTGTTATGTGGTAGTAGTAGGGGGTGAAATAGTCCCCAGTAGCCGGTCGAGAGGACCGAAGGGGAGGCCAGCTCCCAGATATGCTAGTCAGTATCCGATCGAGAGGACCGAAGGGGAGACCAGCACCTAGATATGCTAGTCAGTACCCGGTCTAGAGGACCGAAGAGGAGGCTAGCTCCCAGATAGACTAGTTTGTATCCAGTCGAGAGGACCGAAGGGGTAGGTCGGGCACCCAGATATGCCAGACAATATATGTATGTTATGTGATTGTATGGTATGTGGTATGTTGGGGGAACTCACTAAGCTTCGTGCTTACAGTTTTCAGTTTTGGTTTCAGGTACCTCTTCTTTGAAGGGGAAAGAGCTGGCGTGGTAGCGGCCCATCACACACGTGCTCTGTATTCCGCACCATGAGAACTTCCTGGGGATTTGTACTCTGACATTATTATGTTTTATGAAAATGTTTTTCCAGCCATGCGATATCTTTATAAAATGTTATGATCGGTATATCTTTTATTTCAAATGTTTTGCTAAGTATATGTTTTCAAAAATGAAAATTTTGGCTCGTATTTTTAGGTCGTTACAGAACAACAATGCCATCAGATGATACAGAATCCAATACAGCATTCCAAGACCAAGCATATTTATATTCGTCATCACTTCATCAGGGAGATCGTTCGAAAGGGAAAATTAGTGTTGTTTTACATTCAATCCATTGGATCAAAGGGCATACATTTTCACCAAGGTATTGGACAAAACGAGTTGAAAAAAATAATTACAGAACTTGGCATGCTTCAATGAATTGATCATTTTCTAACTATTTTATGCCTTATTAAAAACACAAAAACAAGTGCTTCTTTTATTATGTTTGAAGATTTTTACATTTAGTATTTACATGTATTTTCCTTCAAGCCTATCTATGATTTATTTTCATCTTATTCCTTCAGAATTTGTAAGGACTGGAGCCTTCTTGAAAGATCTTAGCGCTCCCAGTGTTGAGAAAAAGAATGGCATCATGTCCTTTTCTTCTTAAGATCACTCTCCTTCTCCTACACTCATTTTTGTGGATGCTAAGAGAAACCATCAATGAAATAAGTCTTGTTTTTTATTTATTGACACATAATATGATAACACATTGAATTCCCTCGTGTTGATCTTGAAGGCACGATGGTTTTATAGATTTCAGTCAGTTATTTCGTAGGTTACAAAGATTGGTTTCTACTATTTTTTTGCTCCTGCTGAACATGAAGCCTGGAAAGCATTTGCAACACTTTAATGATAAGTGGCCTCATCATTCTTGATTTATAGTGAGATGTTTTGTGTACTAATGAGTTTATCTTTATTTGTGCTCACTTTTATACTCAAAATTTAAGGAGTAGATATCTCTGAAAATGGAAGTATATTTATAACTATTCCATTCGAAAGATTTGATGGATCAAGTCATTATCACCTTTCTAAAAAAGTTGCACATAATTTGATGTTTAAACTATTTTTTTTGACAATCTCGTTTGTTTGTATTCTTATATTTTTTTTATTCTTTTGTACCATTTTTAAAAAGAATTTGACGGTGGAAACTCTAAGCCTAGTATGCAACTTTTGACACATCATCATCCCTAGAAACATGTTGTTGTATATTACTAAATCTCTTTATGTTTCTCATCAGCGAGACCGTCTGATGAGAACATTGAGTCACCCACTTATGCTGACTATCTAGCATTGTCTAAACTTTCTAAGTTAAATTGGCTGGTCCAAATAAAAAAATTTATAAAAAAGGATTGGGTGTTTATTCTTAGTTAACTATCCAACCTGACCCTATCCTTGGAAGCTTGCTTGTTATACACATCAAGTCTCATGTTCTGCTAAAACATTGAGCATAACCAATGGCTTACCCTGACTGCATAGTGATTACTGTAAGAGTTAAATGTTTACTCCTAAAATGACAAAGGGTTGTTCATGTCCATGACCTCCTAG